GGACAGAGCGGAGTTTAGGGCTGTTGTACATAGGGTCGCTATGAGTCGCAGGCGACTCGACGGCACATAACAACAACAACAACTTATTATGTGTCATTAAATTATATATAATTCAATATGATTATATGTCCTTACATGTAATTTTATTATACATTTATATGTTTTATACTTGTATAAAATTTGTTATACATGTCGTTGTGATGGTGCACCGTCAAGTCAGAACCGACCCGTAGCTGACCCTTCGGCAGGTTTCAAAGGCAGTTAACTGCTCAGGAGGAGACTGCCCATTCTTCTCCTGCGGAGCAGCTGGAGGATTTGAACCACATTCTTTTGGGATTGCAGCACAGCTTCTTGCCACTAGGCCATAGCTTACTTAATAAATTTTCCTTTTAAAAGAGAATCGTAAAATATCTTTGTTTCTAGTCTAAAGGTTTAGTTTTAAATGGGATTATCTGAAATGGGTAATATTTAATAAAGTTTCTGAAGAAGAATTACAGAAGAATTAGACCTATCATTTAAAAAGCCAAAGGAAACTTTAATACTATGTTTGTTGTTGTTGTTGTTGTTGTTGTTGTTGACTACAACTCTAAGAAACACTCTGCATAACAGATCTGAACCCTGCTTTACCCTAAGTCAATCTCACTGTCTCCAAAACACCTGTCTTTATTAACCCAGTTAATGTGTCGATCCATATAATCCAGGATCTTCCTCTCCTGCATCATCCCTCCATGCTTTCAAGCATGCTGTCCTTCTCCAAGGACTGCTCCCTCCTGGCAACACACCGAAAGTAAGCAAGACAGAGACTCTAAATCCTTGGCTCCAAGAAGCAACTTGGTTTCACCCTCTGCAGGACAGACATGTATGCTTTCTTGACAGTCCTTGGTTTATTCAATACTCTTCTCCAGCACCACAACTAAAAGGCATTGATTCTTCTTCTGTCATTCTTAGACATTGTCTAATATTTTGATGTGTAGCAAAAAATTGTAAAGATCATGGCCTGGATCAGTTACACTGTAGTCTGTAGGCTGACATCATTTCTCTTTAGTACTCTAAAGAAATCCCTGACAGTAGATTTCCCTAATAGAATTCATTTTTTTATTTCCTGACTGCTGGTGCCAAGAGTGTTGAACTGAGTAAGCTGAAAATTGTTAAGAATCTCAATTTATTCTCGATATCATGATGCAGTCAAATAGGCCAGTGGTGAGAATCCTTGTGGTATGTATATCTCTACAGCAAATGCAGGTCCTCCTCAGATTTAGTAAGCCATATTGTATCATCTGTATAATGCAGATTGTTGATGACTTTTCCTCCAATCTTGATACCACATTTCTCCTCATAAAGTCCATTTGCCCAAAAGATCTGTTATGCAAATAAACTGAAAAGTTATGAGGACAGAACACATATGTGACACACTCCTTGACTATTTTTGAACCACACAGTATTTCTGTGCTCAGTTCTGATGACTTGTTCTTGGCCTAATTATAGGTTTCATACAAGTACAATCAAGTGTTCTGGAATTCTCATTCTTCTCAAGGTTAGCTATAATTTGTTGTGATCCACACAGCCAAATTTGCACAGTCAATCAAATACAGATAGATAATCCTCTGGTACTCTCTGCATTTGGCCAAGATCTATCTGACATTGTCTCTGATTTGCCTAGTAGCATGACTTCTTTTAAACCCAGCTGTATTTCTGGTAGTTCTCTGTCAATGCACCATTCCAGTCCCTTTTGAATGATCTTCAGCAGGATTTTGCTTGCATGTGATATTAGTGATATAATTTAATATTTTCTACACTCTGTTGGATCACCTTTTTTTTTCAAATGGGAATATATCTCTATCTCTGTATATCTCTATCTCTATCTATCTATATAGCTATATCTATCTATCATTTATCTATCTATCTATCTATCTATCTATCTATCCATCCATCTATCTATCTTCCACTCACTTGAGCAGATTGTTGTCCTGCAGATTTCTTGGCACAACCTGATGAACATATCCAGAGCTGCATCTGTTTGTTTAAATATGGTATTTAACTGGTATTCTGTCAATTCCTAGGGCCTTGTTTTGTGCCAATTATTTCAGAGCAGCTTGAACTTCCTCCTTTATCACCACTGCCTTTAGATCTTATGTTGTTTCATGAAATTCTTCTGTCAGAGTCAATTATTTTTGGTACAGTGATTCTGTGTATTCATTCCATCTTCTTTTGATACCTCCCAGATCATTCAATATTCTGCCCATAACATCCTTAAGTATTGAAGCTCAAGGCTGGAAATTGTTCTTTCAATTCTTTATAAAATGCATACATACTTTGTAAGTAAACCTGTATAAAATAAAATTTTAAAATAGAAATGTTGAGTGAGTCCAACTCCTTTGATGTTCAAACTCTAGCTCTTTGAACATTTTGTTATAATATTTGCTTGGTATTTTCAAATTGAATTCTTCTGTTTGGCTCCTTAACATCCCATTTCCTTTCCTTTGCTTTGGCTTCTCAGTGCTCTCATGCAATAATCAGAGTCTCTTCTGACAGCCATTTCGGTCTTTCCTTCCTCCTCTGTCTTTGTAATGACATTCTGAATCTTCTTGGATATTATTTTTTATATCCTCCATAGCTCATCTGGTTTGTGCTCAGTAGAGTTCAAGGCCTCAAACCTGTTCCTGAGATGGTTTTACATTCAGCTTGGATACACTCCTGGTTAAATTTTCAGTCTTGTGGATTTGATTAAACTTTTTTAGCTTCAGTTTCAACTTGCATATGGGTAGTCTATTTGTTCCACTCTTAGCACCTGGCCTATTTTCACAGATTATGTTGAGATTTTAAAAGGATTCTTTTAACAGATGTAATCAATATGATTCCTGTGCAGACCATCAAGTGATCACATGAGGTATTCATGCTTTTATACTATTAGTTTAATCTCAGAAAGTCATTGTTGATTCAGAACTGCCTCATAGGTGACACTTCAAAGAATTTTCAGAGGTTGTAAATCTCACAGGAGGTGGCTGCTCAACTTTCTCTTGGAGCTGCTCATAAATTCAAACTACCAGAAAGGCTTAGCAGCACAACTGCTAGATAGTAGTTAAGTGAACAAGGATCAATGCCAATCTGTTAAATGTTAATCTGTTGAAGCAATGAGGTAAAAATGGTAACCGAGTTTTGCTAAAACAATAATTTTCATATACAGGACACTGTGACAAAATTTAAAAGAAAAATTTAAAATCTCCTAAAATCATAAATGGCATATATTGTAAGTTTGAAACACAGAAGAATTGCTTATATCCTTTATTCCATTTGTCCCTCTCATACAAAGTGAAAATCACCATGAATTTATTTCCAACACATGTGTTCTGTTGAACACATAATTTGTCATTTTTAGGTGCCATCAAGTCAATTACTCCTCATAAAGATCCTATGAACACCATATCAGAGAACCTTCCCTATCCTGTGCCATTATCATGATCTCTGCCATGCTAAAGTTCTTAGTTGCAGTTACCATGGTACAATAATAATTTGATAAACAAAGATCAATAATTGAAGGCATAGTAGTAATTTGATCATCAGTGAATGACAGTTGAATTTTATAATTAACTGAAGTAGATTAAGTCAGCCTTACCATGTCTTCATTGGTGCCCTTCACTTTGTACATTGTCCAGGTCTTCCCATCATTACTATAGGCAATTTTGTAGGATTTTATATATTCTGGACTTCCAATCCGCTTGGCCCCTTGGGTAATCACACCAGTAACTCGCATTTTTCTTTGCAAATTTATCTGAAGAGACAAGACACAATCAGTGAGAACCACATTACTCAGGAGAATAAAATTGACACTATTTAAGAGGTAGAACATTATCTTTATTATTATGCTTTAAAGAATAATAGAGAAAGCTAATAATTTTGCTCAGATTTCATTTCAGAGAAGTATCATGGTTTTATACTAGTTAGCTTTGAATTCCTTTCTATATTGACTTACAGTTTTTGATATAAATAAACTTTTACATGTACAATGTGCCCAAAAATTTTAAGTAATTTTAGAAAGCAGTTGGTTGTTTATGATAAAAAAGGAAATATGTTCCTGTCAATATAACCTAGTGTCATTCCAATGAAATTCTAATGCCAATGGTTAATGTGTCTCAAGAAACTGAACAAAGCTTCAAACATTTGCCATTTAAAATAAAGATGCAAGTTTCATTGAAATCTTTTTATACTGAAGTGAGAAATGGTAAAGGCAACAACAAGAATGATGGCAAAATTTAAACAAAACAACAGGTTAACTTCTTTCCTTTCTACCATCTCTATAAGTTTTGTGATATGAAGGATCACAGTTTATCACCAAATATATTTTTAATCTCCAGTTTATTATATGGGTATTTTGTTAGGTGCCTGCAAGTTGACCCATGAACAAGTGATCAGAACCTTGCCCTTTCTTATACTATCCTCATGATCTGTGCCCTTTATTGCAGTCTCTGTGTCAGTTCATCTTCTTGCAAATCTTTCTCTCTTTCACTGACCTTCTACTTTTCCCTGCAGACCACCTTCTTCCAATGACTACTCGCTTCTGAAAATATGCCCAAATTATCTGAGATGAAGTTTCAACATTTTTTTCCTCTAAGGAGCATTTCCTCCAAAACCCACAATTCAAAAGCATCAATAATTCTTAGAAATTCCAGAAAGATGTGAATTTAGTTTGGCAGTGCAACTCCCTACAGGCTGCACTACCAGAATTCCCTGTTTTCCACTCACTCACTTACTCATGCTGTCAAGTTGGAATCGTCTCATAGCCAACTCTTCACTGGGTTTTGAGAGGCAGTAAATTGCACACGTTATGAGTCGTGGTCGACTTGACAGCACATAGCAACAGACTGCACAGGAGGAAATTGTCCATCTTCCTCTCACAAAACAAGTGATAGAGCCTAATCATTTGCCTTTGTTTTGACATCACAATTCCTTAATCATTAGGATACCAGAACTCCCTTCTTTATTGCCACTATTGATATGAAATACACCTGGGTTTTTAGAAATCTTTTTCTCTCACACACACACAACACACATGCACAAACACAAATGCACATGCATGCACAGCTGCACATAGACATGAGAGAGATTATAAAACCAATTCAAAAGGAAGTAAAGAATATTAAAAGACAATGAAGAGAATGTTAACCAGCAATAGCTAAACTTTCAGTAAAGCCACAATGGTGTAGTGGTTAACTTCTCGAGTAGTTAAAAATAAATTTTCCAAACAAAAAAAAAAGTGTGACACCCTGCTGCTGTAAAAATTTACAGCTTTGCAAACCTCCTGTACGTCAATTCTAAACTAATCCTACAGGATCACTATTAATGGGAATTGATACAATGGCAATAGTTTTTTGAAACTTTCCTTATTAATAAAAGAAAAGCAGATTAAATGAGAAAGTAGCTATTTACTATTATGGAAAAGTGGCCAAATAAACATTTCAACTAAGATATTCTCTCTCTCATTGCAGTGGAGGCACAACAGAATCATTCATCCTTGACCCTCCATTATGTTTTGGGGAAGCTGTGAATCACACAAAAGGAGGCCATTTATCTTTCTACCTCAATTACCAAGCATGAGTAAAGTCATTTTTAAGGACTGGATCCAAAGTATAAAAAATTGGCAGCATTTACAACATTCTATATGTTGTTGTTATGTGCCATCAATTCACTTGTGACTCATATCGACTCCATGTACAATAACCCTGAAATCGGCCTTATCTTGTGCCAACCTTACTGTCTCTGACACACCTACCCTCATTTCCCCAGTCACTGAATCAATCAAATTCATCTTCCTCTCTTGTGCTGTCCCTCCACCTTTCTAAGCATGTGGTCCTCTCCAAGAGCTGGTGCCTTCTTGCAACATGTCCAAAGTATATCAGATAGAACTTCAAAATCCTTACTTCCACAAAGCAGTCTGGTTTGACCCTCTCCAGGATGACATGTGTGTTCTCCTGGCAGTCTGGGAGTAGCATCCACCTCTTAAACAACATGCGTCAGGAAACTCTATGAACTTTGAGAAACGATATTATTGAAAGACTCTTGGTCTTTTGTTCATAGGGTCACTATGAGTCACACTTGACTCGATGGCAATCAACAACAACAACATATATACATATATATTTGGGTATATTAATAGATAAATACAGTTGCATGCCAGTAAGAAAAAGAACTGCCCATAGTGTTTCTTAAAGCTTAATTATTTTCAAAAACAAAAAGTTATTCTTTTTTCCTTTCCTCACTTGAAGTGGTTTGTTGTTATTGTTGTTGTTAGGTGCCGTCGAGTCGAGTATGACTCATAGCGACCTTATGAACAAAAGATCCTCCTCACACTTCCTGACACACAAGAGCCCACTGCAGCAGTCACCATGCCATTTCACCTGGTTGAGGGTCTTCTCTCTTTGCCAACCCTCCACCCTTCCCAGCATCATGTCCTTCTCCAAGGAATAGCCCCTCCTAACAACATGCCCAACGTATGTGAGGTGAAGTCTCATCATTCTTGCCTCCAAAAAGCACTCTGGCTGCAGCCTCTCCAAGACATATCTCTTCTTTCTCTTGGCCATCCATGGGATGTTCAGTGCTCTTCTCCAACATCACAGCTCAAAGGATCAATTATTTTTCTGTCATACTTACTCATTGTCCAGCTATTGGATGCACAGCAAGTAGTTTGGAAAGACCATGACCTAATCAGATGCACCTTAGTCCTCACACTGACATCATTATTCCTCAATAATTTGTAAATGCAAAAAGTCATTATTTTCCCCTTTTTTCAACTGAAGTGGCTGGTAAGTCTCAACTACTAACTTTTCCATTATCAGCCAAACACTTAACCATTGTACAACCAGGCTCTTTTATTATATACTAACATACTTAAAATTATTTATGGCCCTAATTTAAGCAAAAGCTCTTACTTAAGGAAGCAATTAACTTTAAGAGCAGCTTTATGAAGAGCTAATTGGTTTTCTCTACCTCCAGTTTGTTACCAGAAGTGGAGATACACTTAAATAGTGAACTCAAGTGGGGGTCCAACTGGAGGCTGGTATCCTTACATAAAAATAATGTAAACCTAAAATACAATCATTCATAATTCGCAAGAAACTACATACTTTATTGAAAAAGAAACATTTTTTATTTCAATACTAGAAAAGTGTGAGAAGAAAAAAACCTTGTTTTTGTTGAAACTCTAAGAAACAATGCCAATTGATAGTCATTTAGAACAAAAAGAGAAATGCCTACTTCATTATAAATTACTCTGGAGTATATTAGGCAATATGGCTCTTCTAGATAACAAACTGTCTTTACTCTCATCATATGGCCAAGCTGTTGATGTTGTTGTTAACTGTCACTGAGTAAACTGTGACTGAGAGCGGCCCTATGAACAGACAAGATCAAAACCTTGCCATATCCTAGACCATTTTCCTGACCTCTGTCTTGCTGGTGTCCATTGCTACAGTCACTGTGTCAATTAATTTTGTTGAAATTTGTCTTCTCTTTCTCTGATTCTTCACCTTTCCCAGGATGAGGTATATTTAAGGGCTGACCCCTCATGACAGCATGATAAAATACGTGAGATGAGGTTTCATCATTGTTTCTTCCAAGGAGCACCCTGGTTCCTCTTTCTCCAGGATAGACTTTTGGCAGTCTAGGAGATGGTCAATACCTTTGTCCACTCATACAATGCAAAAGCATTGCTCTTTCCTCTGTTATCCTTGTATGTTGTCCAACTATAAGACGCCTAAGAAGCAATAGAAAAATAGCATTGGTTGTATCAGAAGTACTTTAGTTTTTAAACTGACCTTGCTACTCTTTGCCACATTGGAGAGATCCTTGACATCAGATTTTCCCAAGGCAAAACATCTTTAGATTTAAATGTCTGGTTGCGATTATGTAAATTAAAAATGTTTGTGGTCCACAAAAGGGAAAGAACAGTTTGCTAAAAATGTTCACAGGTAAATGGCAGATTTGTATGGGAAGATTATAATTTAGATTACGACGTATCCAGGATGCAGGCATGCCACTAGTAGAGGCTATTCTTTGGAGAAAATATCATGCTTGGGAAGTTGAAGAGTAGAAGAAAGAAAAGTCCTCAAGCAGATGGATTGACACTGTGACTGAAGTAATGGAATCACGTACGTCAGAGATAGGATTACACTGTATGAGTCATACTTGACTAGACGGAACATAGCAACAAGAAGGGCAATTCTGCTTTGTCTCATTTGGTCACTGTGAGTGTGAATAAACTAGACTGCCTATATATAAGACAAGTACGTAAGACGAGTTAGAACAGTAAAATGGAGACTCATCAATTTTGCCAATTTGTGTGCATTCATTACTGTTGTATTGGAGCCAACTTATAGACAACCCTCCAACAGATTTTTCAGCTGCTAAAATCGCATGAGAGGAGGTTGCACATTTTTCTTCCATGAACTCACTGCTTTTGGGGTTGACAGCACAAGTTCTTAGCAACTAGGCCACCAGCAAACTTAAATTGTTGCACTTAGTTGGTGTTAGAACTTCTGAAAGAAAGTGTGGAACTTGAGGTCCTGTCCAACCTCACAGGAATTGTCTTTGTGTTGCTGCTACTGTTTGTAAAGTTTCTTTCCCCTAGTGATGTTAGCAGAGATCAAATACTCACATTTGATGCCTTGTTTTCACACCTGCTCTTTGGAAAAATCAGGTTGTAATCACTTACAGGGCATGTGCTTCTCGATTACTGAGACACACACAGAGAAGCAATACTTAGAGAGCTGCTATATT